CTACATCCGTCCTCTTCGGGTCACGGGATTTTACAGTAGTCCTGAGATCCTGGCTTACCGTATAGGTCAGCCAGCGGTGGTCTGACATAGAAATATGGTCCGAGACTTGCCAGTCTTGGATTTCGTTTGATATTTTGGCTGTCGTAAGCGTGATATCTATTAATGTTTGGCTACGGGCGTCAATAAATGTTGGCTCCGTGCCTCTGTTCAAGATTGTTATATCTTTCTGTATTATATATTCATATAGTAACTTACCTCGGGCGTTGATATCCTTGCTGCCCCAGCTCAAGTGGTGAGAGTTTGAGTCGCAACCCAATATGAGCTCCACTCTCTGGTTGAGGCAGTGATCCACTAGTACCTCCATTTCCCTCCATTTCCCGACATTTCCAGTTTTTTTGTGCTTATCATTTTTCCAAGGCATCCGGTAGTTTACTATTTTTCAGGATAACCACTTTCAGGTTTTATTATTCAAGCATTTGTCATCCTCCGCCTTCTGAAAACCTTATATCGCATTCACTTGAGCCGGTCCTGCGCGAATATCATCTTATCTGTAGACGTCTAACCACAAACATTATTTGTTGATTGAACTCATGCCATTTCATTGCTCATAGAGAATGTGGAAGATATTGATCTTTCTATGTTTAATTTACGTCAATTATGCTTCAGACACGCCGGTTATTGGGATTCTTTCCCAGGAGATGTACATTGTGGCTAAATATTTTCCTGGAGAGCATTATGAGAGTTTCATTGCCGCATCTTATGTGAAGTTTTTGGAAAGTGCTGGGGCAAAAGTTGTACCTGTATGGTAAGTTTTTTTTTGAGTTTTCTGCCTTAGACTGCATTTACTCTTACCACCGCTATTTTACTTTGACTCAGCTTGAAAATATCTGTTGAATCGAATGTATTCTCCAATTTTGTTTATAGACATGTAATATTCGATAATTTTATAATATAGACGCACACATATGAGTGGCTTGTACACAAAAGTGCGATGGGATGCGATGCAAATTCGCAACGCACAAAGTTGCGACACGAATTGCTGCGTCCCATCTCAATAATATCAGTCTTCTCAAAAATGATAGAAAAAATGATTAAACATCGGATTTATTCTTATTTTGAAAAACACTTTTTTGGACAAATCGCAATTTGGATTCCGCAAAGAACGTTCCAGAATACATGCTGTTTTGAATGTTGTGAGAGATGTGGTCAAGAGATTTGAACAGGGCACTTATAAGTCTACCACGATTTGTGACTTCTCCAAGGCTTTCTACTGTGTCTTTCATGATATACTACTGGAGAAATTAAACTACCATGGTTTCAGAGGGGTATCCTTGTCTCTTATTGAGACATATTTATCTAATCATTATCAAGCAGTAAACTGCAACAATAACTCAATATCTCAGTACGAACTTGTGAAGCATGGGGATCAATAATGGGGCCGCTGCTACTCATTATATACAGTGTGACCCATTTAAAATGAAACCACCCCTGTAGAATGTGCATTTTTCAATCAATCTCAATTTTTTTTTATTGAAATATTAAGCATGAAAAACTGTATCTTGACACTAACTTTCACAATTTTAGTTTCATTTCCAAGGCACTCTATGGTTTTTTTTGTTTGTCAAAAACGGCAAAAGTTTATTAGGCAATTTTTGTTTTCAAATTTGACTACACCACTGGATTCGTAGTCGTTATAAATCAAAACTGTCAAATTTTCATTAAAAAATATTTGTTAACAACGAAGTTACAACAACTTCAATTTTGGAAACAAAGTATTTGTTTGTAATTTTTATTCAGATTATAGACATATTTGAGATCTGACAACACTGTCATCACCAAGTAGAACACCAGTGAATTTGTACAGTGAAAATCCGAAGTCAACAGCTCAATGCGTTCTACAGTTATAACTCCTGAAAATATGGTAATGTGAGAGATTTGTGGTGCAAGCGTTTTGTAATAAAAATCTGACTACGCCACTGGATTTGTGGATAATATTCCCTTAAAATCATTCATTTGAGTGTAGGTTACGAGAAGTGAAAATTAAAATAAAAATTGAATAATTGAATAACAGAAAATTAAAAGTTCATTTTCAAGTTACGCAGTAGTAGACCAAGTTCAGAATCTCATGTCATGGGATCTCCCAATTGCGCTTTTACCAAATCTTGATAGAATCTTGAAGTATTAATGGTCATACTTGTAAGCTTTTTGGAAGTTTCCCAATAATAAATAATAGTACTTTT